TTGGATTGTGAGGTTTTTATGCCCTAGTACATGGTCAATTTTTGTGTATGTGCCATGTACTGCCGAGAAAAAAGTATATTCCTTTCTATACCCATTCAGTTTTCTCCAGAGGTCTATCATACCTAACTTTTCTAATGTTCTATTCACCTCCTTAACTTCTTTCTTGTTTATTTTGTGGTTAGACTTATCTAGTGCCGAGAGGGGGAGGTTCAGGTCCCCCACTAGTATAGTTTTGCTGTCTATTTCTTCCTGTAACTCCCTGAACTTCTCCTGTAAGAATTTGGATGCTATGCCATTTGGTGCATATATGTTTAGTAATGATATTACTTCATTGTCTATGGTGCCTTTTAGCAGGATGTAGTTTCCTTCCTTATCTCTTTTAATTAGATCTATTTTTGCTTTTGCTTTGAGGTCAGGATTGCTACCCCTGCTTTTTTCACTTCAGCTGATGCATAATATATTCTGCTCCAGCCTTTTACCTCTCCCTTTTCTTTCCCCTTTTCCCTCCTACTGCCTATAGGGCAAGTTAGATTTCTATACCTAACTGATTATATTATGCCCTTCTTGAGCCAAATCTGATGAGAGTAAGGTTCAAACAATGTTCCCCCCCCCTTCTTTCCCTCTGCTGTAATAGGATTTTGTGTCTTTTCCTGTAATGTAATTTACCCTTGTCTGCCTCCTCCTTTCTCAGTACATTTTCTAAGATCATATTGATCCACTTATTTGGATCCATTTAACCCACTTGATTATATATATATATTTTATCATTACATCAAAGTCAACTAATATCCACCCTCTTTATGTATACTCCTTTAACAAGGTGTAATAACAATACAGTTCTCACTTGTAGGGGTTTAAACAGCCCCCCCCCCTTATTAACAACATATTGTATCCTTCTGTCCCATTTACCTTTTTAAGTCCTTCTTGAGTCCTGTACTTGAAGATCAAATTTTTTATTGAGCTCTGGTCTTTTTATCAGGAAAGTTTGGAAGTCTCCTATTTCATTGACTATCCACCTCCTCCCTTGAAAAATGATGCTCATTTTTGTTGTGTAATTGATCCTTGGCTGCATTCCAAGCTCTTTTGCCTTACGGAATATCATGTTCCATGCCCTGCAGTCTTTTAATGTAGAAGCTGCAAGGTCCTGTGTAATCCTGACTGTGGTTCCATGATATCTAAACGGTTTCTTTCTGGCTGCTTGCAGCACCTTCTCTTTCATCTGGTAATTTTGGAATTTTGCTATTATATTCCTTGGTGTTGTCAATTTGGGATCTCTTTCAGGTGGTGATCAGTGGATTCTTTCTATGGTTATTTTCCCTTCTGGTTCTAGGACTTCTGGGCAGTTTTCCTTTATGATTTCCTGAAAGATACTGTCCAGGCTCTTTTTCTCATCATGATTTTCAGGTAGTCCAATAATTTTTAAATTGTCTCTCCCGAGTCGATTTTCCAGGTCGGTTGTTTTACTGATGAGGTATTTTACATTTTCATTTTTTTGTTTCTGTTTGACTGATTCTTGCTCTCTCATAGAGATATTAGTTTCCATTTGTCCAATTCTAGTTTTTAACAGATTGTTTTCTTCTGTTAGTTTTTGTACTTGCTTCTTCAACTGGCCAATTGTGTTTTTTAAGGACTTGTTTTCTTCAGTGTATTTTTTTTCCAATTGTCTAATTGCATTTTTGAAGGTCTCTTCTACCTCTCCCATTTGACTATTAAAATCCTTCTTGAGCTCTTCTAAGAAGGCTTTTTGGGCTTCAGACTAGTTCATATTCCCTTTTGTTGTTGCAGTTGTGGGTTTGTTGACAATTTTGTCCTCTTCAGAATTTCTGTCTTGATCTTCACTCTTCTCATAATATGAATCTATGGTACATTTCTTTTTACTCATGGTGTTTCTTTATTCCCTGGCCTTTAAAGAGATTGAGCTCTCCTGCTGGGGAACAGAGGGTACTGACCCAAGCTTCTTGTGTCGGGAGCCTAGGTCTTGGCCAGTGGCTTTGAGTGCTGGGGCCTCTTATGCTGGCAATTGGAGGCTGTAGTTTTCTGGCAGCTTACGTTTTGTTGGGCTGGAATCAGCAAGGCTGGAACTTTCAGGCAATTCTAGGTTGCCTGCTTTTCCTTTCCTTTAGCTTTCTTCAGCTCCTTTTAGATGGGTGCTGTAGGGTGTTTATCTGCCTGGGGCCCCCTTGCAGTGTTGTCTCCTTTGTTTCTGCTAATGCACTGGGAGATTCCTTTGCAGTGGGGTGCCAAGGCACCTGGTGGTTTTCTGAGCTGGTTTCCACTGGTTCTCCCCCCCCCCACCTCAGTGAGGCACTCGGAGGTGTCAGGTGTTGGTGTTTGCCTGCTCTACCACCTGGGCTTCATGATTTCTTCACAATTGGAGGATGCAGTGCTCCTACTGGTCACCTAGTGTTGGGTTGGAATCAGCAAGGCCTGGGCTTTAGGAAGCCTTTAGCTTGTTTTCTTCACCTCCCTTTGGATGAATGCCCCTGGGTACTTATCTGCCTGGGGCTCCTTGTAGTTCTGCCTCCCTTATTTTGCTGAGGCACTGGGAGACCCGTTTTCTGGGCTGCTGCACTGCTGCTCCCTGTCTTTCTTCTAGTTCAAGTATTTCAGGGTTTTTTTTCTGGGGTGATATTTTCTGGGTTTTCAGAGGTTGATAGGGGAGAGTGAGAGCAACTACCTTTTCACTCCACCATCTTGGCTTCTGGAAGTGGAAGCAAGAAATGCAAGTTTAAATATTTGACTAAACTGTTGATTAAACTTACTATTCAGTAATTGTTCTATCCTATAGCCTAAAAGTAAAATTTGGTGAAAACAAAATATATGCATTGCAAACTTGTGAATTGTTTCTATGTCCTATGGAACTCCAATGTGAATGATATTTTGTTTGATATTAATTTGGATTTCATTGAATCCTTTTGATTTCAAATGGGTAACAATTGAATCACAGAGGAAAACAAAAACTTTATGGGAATTCTATGAAACCTTCCAATGAATTACTATGTAATCCAAAAGAAGAGTATTTTTAGATGCACGGTATTGCATCTCAGGGTTTTGGATCCAAGATAGGAGACAGAATAAATTAAGAAGAAACCTTTGAATCAAAACCAGGGTGAAACTGATTTGTTAATACTTATTCATCAAAGAAATAGCAACTGAGGAGTCAATAGGAAATAAGATAGAAAGGAGCATATTAAGATTGAAATTTTAGTCATCACATATAATATCATGTTGATTCTCCTCTGACAGAAAGAACTGAACCTGGAACCAAGTGTAGTCAGCAAGTAAGACTCATTTTTCCTTACCTAACTTCTCTGATTGTAGTCAGAGGAACTGGGTTTAAAGCCAGCCTCTCATACCTATCACCTATGTGACCTTGGGCCTTTAGTCACTTGGTTTTCCTGGGATTCAGGTTCCTCATCTCTGGGTCCCATCCAAGTCTCAAGCTTTGATGATCTTATCTCCAATTCCTGGCCACATCTTCTTTTCTAATATGGCTTTTCAGTTTTTTTTTTAATCCATGAATCATCAATAGAAAATCTTTATAATTTGTTGGGTTTATCTTGAAACTAGTTTTTGAACCTATTTTAGGTTGAACAGACTATGCCAAAACATATTCCCATTTTCCAACTTTAGATTTAGAATCTGTTATTACCCATGGTTGTCAGCATTAGGATCATGAGGTTTAAAGTATAGAAATATCTTAGAGCTTCTCTACTGAAAGCCATTGATTTTGCATCTGAAGAAACAGGTCTAGAGAAGTGATGGTATTTGCTCAGGATTATGGAGTTAGAAAGTAAACAGTTAAGCCAAAATTCCAAACCAAAGTCCTTTGACTCAAGATTGCTTTTTCATTCTAGTATTATAATTCTGCTTCTAAAGTTTTCCCAATCAACTTCATTTCACAACAATAACTTTAATACTCTTGGCTATATCAAAAAAGACTCCCAAGGAAATTGTCCATTGTACTTCAGTGACCTTGGTGACTGATTTGTAATCCTTATCTGTATCACAAATCCTGCCCATATACTAGGAAGTTTCAACATTTACATCTATGCTTCCTGGAAGATCCTAACTTCCTAGGTCCTTAATCTACCTAGTTCCCACAGTCTTCTTTTCTTTCACCCCAGCTAGAATGGAAGATTGTCACAACCTTGATCATTCACAAGTGTTCTACTTCCTTTATCTGATCATAATCTGTATCATTTCCTTATTTCTTACAATTCCTAATCCTGTTCTTCTTACTCACTGTACCCTCTATTCCTTCTACTGCTCAATTCTTTCCCAGGCCATTTATCACCTCTACGCTAGCCACAAGCTTATTTCCCTATTTTGACCCCTTGACTAGCTCAATTCTACACTATCTCCTACCTTCAAAAACCTTTTTGACTGTCCTATCACCAATCATATGAAAAACTAACCCTGAATTACTCTCACCATCCACCTCCTCCTACTCCTATGTGTATGTTGTTGAACAGAGCTGAAAAATTCATGAAACTGTTCTAATTGGTCTCAATACAAATTCATGTTGTCTAATCTCAACTGTGCCGTCAAGTCAACAGGAAAATCCTTCTATACTTTCAATAACCAATTCTCTATTCTGTTCGCTGTCTTTTCCAAACCTTTTTATATCTTCTCAAGCATCCTACTCAAGTATGTATCCCCTTGCCCACCCTCCTCTCAGCCCCCAAATTTACCTCATATTTCACTGGAAACCTTGAGAATATTCACTGAGAGCTTTCTGTCCTTCTCTCTTCCTTAGAGCATATCACCTTGACATCTTCCCCCATCATCTTCTCTTCACTCTGGTTTTAAACGAAGAGGCAGCACTTCTTCTTCCCAAGGCCATCCCCTCTGCATGCACCCTTGATCCAAGTTCCTCCTTCCCCCTCTTCTCCAGTAGATTGCTTTCACAATCATCCCCATTCTCTTTCTCCAACAAAATAGTAAAGGAGTCAGATGGTGTTAAACACAACACTTTTATTCAGTTTGTAAGATGGTAATCATTGCCCAGATCTTGGTATACTCTCAAGGAAGAACTCTGGCAGCTTTAGGTATCATCTAATGCAGTGATGTCAAACTCAAATACAAAAAGATCTCTGAAGGTAGCATATCGACAAAAGAGCACAAATTACCATCATCTGTATTGTGCTGTATTTTTATTTTGTTAAACATTTCCCGATGACTTTTCATCTGGTTTAGGAAGCATTTGGGCTATAGAGTACATTTTGTGGGCCAATGTTGACACACCTGATGCATGAGACTTTCTTAGTGTTATATACAATATAAGTCTGAATATGTCAGTGCTTTACTCAATAAACTCCAAGGGCTCCTTATTGACTGTAGGATCAAATATAATTTTATCTTATTTTTAAAAATGTCTATTTTGTTTAAGATTTACAATATGTGTAATCATGAATATATTTTGTAGAATGCAATTTCATTTTATTTTTCAAAAGGACTTCAGTATTTTGGAAACATTAAAATATCTCTTTTGGCTATTTGTTATGGAAATATTTTGATTATTATCTATTTTCTGAAAAATCATGCTTTCAAATTTTTGTTGACCCAATCATTTACTTTGATTATTTAAATTTATTTTTTAAACAAAAATACCTCCTTTACTCATTTTTCATCTCTCAAAGAATTGGATTAGGAAATCTTTTAAATCAAAACACTTGAGTAGCTCCTCTAAACTATTAAAAATATGAACCACAAATACAGAAGTTTATAGAGAAAGTGACATTGACTCCAAATTCGTTAGTTTGTCAAGTAATATTTTCATTTTCCACCAGAGGGAGCATTGAAGAGTAGAGTAAGAAAAAAAATGTGAGTAAAATACATAGTTGTCATTCATATTCCCCTACCAGGTTCTGAAGTTTTACACACACACACACACAATCACACACACACACACACACACACACACACACAGAAATAAGAGATCATCTGCCATTTGAACTATGAATACCTCTCCCTTCCATTGGCACAGATTATTTCTAAAATTATATTCAAACCTCAATCTAGAATTGTGGGAAAGAATTATTTTTAAATTACCAAAATCCATTTTAAAGTTATTTGTCCCATCACTTCTAAGTTGATAAAACTTTGTTGAAAGTTCAGTAATAACTCTTTAAGATCCCATAATATTTTAAAACAATTTCTGACACCAATTACACAGCAAAATAGATTAAAGTGGATTAATAGTCTAGCGGACATTACTCTTTTTAAAAAATAGAGGAATACAACTATGTAGGGCCACAAGTAGAGTTGCAATGAGGCTGGCTTGATTAGGACTTTGTTGTATGGCATTTGGTGACCGCCGATATCACTTGTGGTCTTTCTGCAGTGTAGAAAAAATAAGAGTTTAGTAACAACAAAAATTAGTTTAAACAGGAAGCTTCCAGGTATATCAGTCCAAGCATACACTGGGACCAGCTTGAACTGTCTTGTGAGAGCTGATTGTTAAAGTTTCAGTGTGAAGAAATTTGTACCTCAGAAATAGGCAAACATTACAAACCAGGGCTTGATTTATTGATTTGCTCATTGTTTAGACTTAAGAAAGTGATGGAGAAATGTTAATAATGCATATTAAACTAAAAAAAGTATGTCATACATACTTTCCCCCCCAAAGTGAGCTGGTTGTTATACATTTATCACTGATGTCATCCTGGGGTGAACTCCTTTCCCATTCTGTATGTGCAAATGAATGTACTTTTTGTGCCCACTTGCCCCATATGCTAAAATTTCCTAGTTATAATAAAATATAAAATTTTCTAAGCTGGGTCATGAGCAAAAGAGCTGTTATGCAGGTAGGTTATAAGAGTTAGACTATATCGTTTAATGCCTGAATAAGTTTGTCTCTCTTTAAGGAACAAAGTACAGGTTTTGCAATTGTATGGCTAATTTGATCAGTGTAGAAAGGCAGCTGCTTAGCCTTCTAACCATTTTGAAAAGGCTTTGGTGTATTTGTATCAGTAGCATACCCTCCATTCATTGTCTGAGTGAGAACAGTAGAAGGAAGGTAATGGCACGACAATCTAGATGAGCAACAGCAAAGATAAACAATGTAACCATTTACAGAGTCTGCAAGAGTGGGCTATTTATTGTACCACCACACCTGTCAAATAGGCAGCTCTGAATAATATATAAATAAGAAGAGTTCACCTTGAGTAAGCCGACAAAACAGAAAAAAGATGTTTTGATAATTTTAATGGCGTTCTAAGTTAAAATGCTGGCTTCACAGAAGATCATCAACATATTTAATTTAAACTGGCAAGTCCACAAAAGAATTCATTATCATGGTTCTAATTTACAATAAGAAGTGAATTTAAATCATTTGAATATAGATTTCAAATATTCCTATGCAAACATAACTTTGATTTTACTCTTTCAAGCTTATAAGTTTTAAGACAATATATGTCCATCACAATTTTTCTGCAGTAAAAACCAGTGAGTTAAAATAGAAAGTTTATGAAATTTGATTATTACATGAAGCAAACATTCTAAGAAACCTACTAGAATATGTACATTTCAATGACTATCTTTCCTTTAATCTGAATCATGTTGAGATATTGAATGATTTCAATGGTGCTTGAAAATTTTCGAGAAAACCTCTTTTAGAATTTTCTTAAGAGACTATGGCATGTTCTTTTAAACATCTTCAATGATGGCAAATTCTCATCTTTTGGGCTCTTGAATATCAGAAACATTCATTTGGAATTATTTCTGGTGAATGAGGTAGGTGATTCATTTTGATTAAAAATGAGTTGTGATTATAATCTAATGGGACTACTTTCTTGTATGGGTATAACAACTGTCTGAAGGCAATTCCAAAACAAGAGTTTCAAAAATGTTTTAAGTAACTGAAGCATCATAAGAATAAATGTACAGACTCTGAAGCAGACTACTTTGAAGGACAATACTCATTCACAAGTACAAGTTTTGTTATTTCTGTTTTTATTGTTATGTAATAGTTAGAATTCAAACATTTTAGAATAATAAAATATATTCAGTTACTAATATTTTTTCTAGAAAGAATCTGGACATCTTTGGAATCTATTATTGCCTCATTAAAAAAAAAAGAAAATAATATACTCTAAGCTACTGAGTTGGGATAGTTCAAACTGTAAACTTACTGATTATGGACACAGTTGGGGCTGAGCAACATATAGAATCACATCATGGTTCCACATTGGAGAATTGCCAGAGAAATAATATCCCCACTCCCCTCAAAATGGAGATAATGATAAGAAAACTTGGATCTGGGCTATCCATTTCTGGGAAAAATAAATGACAAAAATCCTGAAAATAATCCAGGAAAGACTTCAATATCTTTTAGACATTCATTAAAGCCCTACAGATGTTCTTTCCATTTGGTGGGCCAGATGACCTTTTCTTTGTTCATAAATATTTCACATACAGTGAGTTTCTTTCTTCCCATGTTCTTGAAACAAGTGAAAAAATGGTTTTGTAATTATAGGCACAGACAGCAGTTTATTTCCTCTTGTGTTACGAAAATTAACTTCCGTTTCTTCTTTAAAAATATCAGGTCTTTCTAGCAGCACCTCCATATCAAGGGAGTTTGATTAATTACTGCTGCCATCTGCTGGTTATTTTTTAAACTTTAGAAAAAGCAGTGGCTAAGGCTCCAGCCAATATGATGCAAAATGCAAGTGCTATTAATAGATAATTTTTAATACCCTGTATGGCAAAAGAAATGAGAAAAAAATATTGACACAACCTCAAAAAAAGGAAGATTTCCTTTTATACAACCCAGTATTAAAAATCTGGTTCAAAGATTTTGATTCTCAACCATACCATCTATTGTGTGAATAAATTCTATCTTAACCTTCTACTTGTCTACTTGACTGTAAAGTTCATGAGGGAAATGATCCTGACTCATCAAAGTTAGTATCTGCCTTAGAAGTTAGGACAGAGCTTTGTACACAGTAGTTACTTGATAAGTTAGTGAGGCAGTGTGGTACAATATCAAGGGCACTGGTTTGGGAATCAAAAGCACTGAATTCAAATCTTACCTCTGGCATTTATTACCTGTGAAACTATGGTTAAATCAGTTACCCTCTCTGGGTTTTGGTTTCCTCATCTGTATTATGAAAGGCTTGGATTACTTGGCATGTGAGGTTCCTTCTAATTCTATAACCCTGTGAAATGCTTTTTGAAACAATAGATTTCTAGATTGCGGAGGGGGTGGAGCCAAGATGGCAGCGTGAAAGCAGTGACTTGCTTGAGCTCTCCCCCAAACCCCTACAAATACTCATAAAAAATGGCTCTAAACAAATTCTGAAGCAGCAGGACCCACAAAAAGACAGAGTGAAACAAATTTCCAGCCCAAGACAACTTGGATGATTGATCAGAAAGATGTATCGCACAGGGCTGGGAGTGCAGCGCAGCACAGCATGGGCGCACAGGCCACAGCAAACCTGGAGCAGGCCTCAGAGGACTGAATCTCGGGCAGCTGTGGAGGTTTCCAGACTCCTCAATCCACCAATGCCAAAGACAACTTAGAAGGTCAGTGGGAAAAGTCTGTTTCTTTCAGTGCTGAGAAAGAAAGGTGGGGTTTCAGCTCCATTCCCCAAGAGCGTGGCCCTGGGTAGGGGCAGCTGCTTCCCGAGCTTCTGGCCCACAGACTGAGGGGGAATCCAGTGGCTGATCAGAGAGGGATTGCAGGGATCTCTTTGCCAGTGCTCAGGCAGGAATCTCTTGCTTTGCCCATATTTGGATCTGGGCCACAGTTCTGGATGGTGGTGGGGGGGTGAGGAGGAGCACTGGTTTGGTGGAGCTTGTAGTGGTTGTGGAGAGAAACCCCTCCTCACAGTTACAGGACAGAAAGGAGTACTTGTAGTCACAGGCCAGGAAAGGAGTAAACACCTCACCCCTTATCATACCACCTTGGAAGAACTGAAAATTTACAGGACCCTACAAGTATCTCTGAAAACAGCTGCACAAACCCCCTGAAGCTTGGAACAGTACATTCTCCACATTGGAAGCAGATTCATACCTTAACAAAGAGTTTAAAACTCAAGTAATTGGCCAGGATCATGAGCAAGCAGCACAAAAAGAGTCAGACTATATTATCTTACTTTGGTGAAAAAGAAGATCAAAATATACAACCAGAAGAAGACAAAGCTCCTACATCCAAAGCCTCCAAGAAAAATATGAATCAGTCCCAGGCCTTGGAAGAGCTCAAAAGGGATCTTGAGAAGCAAGTAAGGGAAGTAGAGGAAAAACTGAGAGTGATGCAGGAAAATCACAAAAAACAAGTCGACAGCTTGCTAAAGGAGATCCAAAAAAATACTAAAGAAAATAACACCTTAAAAAACAGCCTAACCCAAATGGCAAAAGAGGTCCAAAAAGCCAATGAGGAGAAGAATGCCCTAAAAAGGAAAATTGGCCAAATGGAAAAGGAAGTCCAAAAGCTTACTGAAGAAAATACTTCCTTAAAAATTAGAATAGAGCAATTGGAAGATAGTGATTTTATGAGCAATCACGACACAGTAGAACAAATCCAAAAGAATGAAAAATTAGAAAACAGTGTGAAATATCTCATTGGAAAAACAACTGACCTGGAAAATAGATCCAGGAGAGAGAATTTAAAAATTATTGGACTATCTGAAAGCCATGATCAAAAAAAGAGTCTAGACATCATCTTTCAAGAAATTATCAAGGAAAACTGCCCTGATATATAAGAACCAGAGGGCAAAATAGAAATTGAAAGAATCCACAGATCTCCTCCTGAAAGAGATCCCCAAAGGAAAACTCCTAGGAATATTATAACCAAATTCCAGAGTTCCCAGGTCAAGGAGAAAATATTACAAGCTGCCAGAAGGAAACAGTTCAAGTACTGTGGAAACACAATCAGGATAACACAAGATTTAGCAGCGAAAAAATGGTCATTCAGTGAAATAGAGGACTTTCAAGCATTCTTGATGAAAAGACCAGAGCTGAATAGAAAATTTGGCTTTCAAATACAAGACTCAAGTGGAACATGAAGAGGTAAACAGGAAAGAGAAATTGTAAGAGACTTATTAAGATTGAACTGTTTGCATTCCTGCATGGAAAGATGATATTTGTAACTCATGAGAACTTTGTCAGTATTAGGGTAGTTGAAGGAAAAAAACTGTATGTATGTATATGTAGATAGATAGATAGAGGGCACAGGATGAGCTGAAGATTAAGGGGTCATATCTGGAGAATAAAATTAAGGGAAGAGAGAGGATATACTCAGAGAAGAAGAAAGGGAGAGGTAGAATGGGGTAAATTATCTCACAAAAAAAAAACCGGAAAAGAAAAGTCTCTTACAGTGGAGGGGAAATGGGGGAA